TTTTTAGGTAAAGAAATAATGTAGAGGGATTGGAATGAACCACTTTGAAAGGCTGACTTCTGGCAGCCTAGGTGGGACTGGTCTGGTATAGATTTTCAGCTCCTTGAAATGAGCACAAATTGCAAGTATTTCTTCTTCAACAGAAAGAGCCAAGACTGTGACTGATGCCCACTGTGTCTTTGCAATCCTGATCTTTGTCTATACAGGCAGTGTTTTAGTCCGCTTTTTCACTGCTGTGACTAAATGACTCAACCAGCACAACTCTAGAGGAGGAAGAGTTTATTTGAGGGCTTACTGTTTCAAAGGTCTTAGTCCATAGAAGGCCGGCTCCATTCCTCAGGGCTCAAGGTGAGGCTGAACATCATGGTGGGAGAGGGTAGCAGAAGGAAGCAGCTCACATCGCAGTGATCAGAAAGCAGACAGAGATTCTACTCTCCAGATACACAATATATACCCCATAGCCACGACCCCAATGAACCACTTCCTCCAGCCACACCCCACCTGCCTCCAAGCACCACTCAGTTAATCCCATCAGGGATTAATTCACTGATTGGGTTAAGATTTATAATCTGGTTATTTCTCCTCTGAACTGTCTTACATTGTCTCACATGTGTGCCTTTGGGGGACAACTCACATCCAAACCATAATAGGCAGGCAAGTTGACCAAGTCAAATTGGGGCTTTGGATTTTTGTTGGATGTAACTGTCCCACTGGAAATGTGGGACATGTGTGTTAGAAATGTTTTCACTAATAGTATTAACTTTAGTAAAGACCCTTAGAATATGTGAAAATCAATCTCCCAAAATAAAGATATATCAGTATGTCATCAATAGGTTTACTGTTCATTTACATATCATTAATATCATTCACTTATTTGTGGTGGGTTAAAGGAAAATGTCTTAACACTTTTAATACCATACTTAACTTTGAAATAAGTATCAAAAATAATTTCAAAACTTTCTTTAGTGCAATGAGATAATAGCCTAAAATATATCCCTTCCTTGGTCTGTCCTGTGACTACCACACTTTGTCATGTTCCCACATAGGCAACAGGAAGGTGGTACCAACAGTTCTCGGTATATTATTAATATAATACTAATGCAAAGACTAGCAAGCAAGGAACTTAACTAGACAAAAAGTCAGTGTTCAGTTTCGAGTTCTCATTTTCATATTTGACATGCAGGGCAAGAACAATAGTTGAAGAAGAAAAGGTTTTTGAGTTTTAAGAAAATCTTTCAAAAATAAGAACTTTGGAGGATGAAGGTTTAAAACTGTGCCACAGAAAATCATCATTAGAAGAATTGAACAGATTGAGGTGGTCCACATAGATAGACAATGTGATCATTATTTGGAAGAAGAAGAGAACAGAAAAGAAGAGCCCTGGTTAGAGCATGGGATGAGGAAATGAAGGACTCTCTGTACATGCTTGAGGATAGTAAAGAACTTTGCAACTCAAATGCTTCATTTCCTGGAAGAGAGACAAGGTTCCAGATTTCTCCCACTCCTGTTACAAGTCATGGTCTCTAGGTAAAGTAACGAATACCTTCTCTAAGATGGTGACAGAAACAAGAAAAGAAGGCTATTGGGCCCAAAGAGCCCTAAGGTTAGCAAAATGGTGACTCAAATAAACTGTCCTGCAATTTAAATGGAAGACCAGATGGCCATTGGTAGGTGTTAGCATGGATAGATATCCCACAGTAGGGACCAGTGAGATTGAGGACCAGCAAGAAGTGCCAGCAAGGACAGATGACAACAGGGCCCAGATGTCCAATGCCTAGATGTTATAGATGCTTCTGCATCTTAGATGCTATCTTGGAGAAATGGAAAGGGGTTGCAGAAAATATTCTGAATTGGCTGAGGAACTTCTGCTTGTCTAGAATTAAATTTATGTCATTAACATAATGAACTCTCAAGAAATAAATTCACCGAGGCATAGAAAAATAATTTTTTGCTTGAATTTGTAGCTTATGATATTCAGTGGCTGTATATAGTTATTAACCCAAGAACCTGTTGAAAAATTATATCAGAACTTTACATTTCAAATAAAATAACTTAAAATACACACGTATAGATGTTTAAGTATCAACTTGGGAGGAGAGGAGGATTCCACTTGATAGTTCCATCAAAATTTAATACAGGAGTTCTTATTCTTACAAAATAAATGTCAGTACTGTCACTATAGTTTCTCTGGTGTAGAAAAAATACTGTAATATAAAACTAAGTTTAAGTGAGGACTTTGATTCAGAAGCACTAATAAATTAGAACTGTGCTTTCCCTCCCTTTTGTGCAAAAGTAGAGATCCTAAGTACTAAGTCCCTGCAGGGCCTATTATTTGACCTTATTTAAGAAAAAGTCTCTAGGGAAGCCCAGAGACAAAAACAAAAACACTAGAAGAGATGTTAGCCTTTGATACCTACAGGTATGAAAACAGTAAGCATAGCCTAATTTCTAGATAGACAAACATAATACTTCATGCCAAAGGCCTAAGAACCTCATCATGTCCATTTATCAACACAACATTGTGCACTGATTTGACTTATAATATGATCCCACACCTCAGATAAAAATAGAAGGCCTTACCATTCTCTCCATTGTTTTTAATTTTTCTTATTTTGGTACAGGGAATTGAACCCAGGGGTGCTTTATCCCTGAGCTACATCCCCAGTCCTTTTCATTTTTTATTTTTGAGACAGTGACTTGCTAAATTGCTGAAGCTGGACTCAAAAAAGGGATTCTTTTGCCTCAGCCTCCTGAGTCTCTGGGATTGCAGGTGGGTGCCACCACACCCAGTGTGCCTTACTCTTCTCAAAGAATGAAAGTAACTCTGCTCTCTAAATAAAAACTTTCCAATTTATTAATTACTCAACAGACCTAATTGGTCACTTTACATCATTCCTTTTTCTTTGTCGGTTTTTATTAAATATGAACACCACAGAAAAATTGGTAGCTTGCAATGTGTAAAATAATGACATCAATATGGCCAGATGAACATCTCTGTCTTTCATCACTCAGCTTGAGAATAGCTGAAGACCCTATGGGTTCCTTTCACCTGCACCACAAGGGAACCTATCCTGAACTTTGTATTTGTCATCTTTTTGCTCTTCTTTATTAGGTATTAGCCTCTTAGATGATTGGCGCTGCTATAAAAGAATACTGCAGACTGGGTAATTTATAAATAATATACTTTTATTTTTCATAATTCTGGAAGTTAGGAAATCCAAGATCAATGTATTGGCATTTGGTCTAGTGACTTCCTTCCTTCAGTGACTTCACATGGCAGCAGGCAGAAAGGCAAGCAATAACCAACTTATTATTTCAAATCCCTTTGTAAGGGCACCTAATTTAACTCTGGAGGAAGGAATTGTCCTGGCCTAATCAACTCTTCAAGGTTCCATCTTTTAATACTATCACATTGACAACAACTGAACTTTGAAAGGGACACATTGAATCCATAGCTTTCCATCTACATTGCTCTCAGATTTATGTCCTTTTTAGATACGAAATGCATTCATTCTATACTAATAGCCTTCAAAGTCTTACTTCATTCCAGCAACCACTCAAAAGTTTACAGTACAGAGTCTTATCTAGATATTATCTAAATCAGATATGGGTGAGACCTAAGGCACAATCCATCCTGAGGTAAATTTCCCTCAGCTGTGAAGCCTGTGCCATCAAATTATGTGCTTTCAAAATTCAGTGGTGATATAGTCTCATTCCAATATGGAAAATAAAAAAAAAAAAAGAAAAAAGAAAGCGGTAATAGTTCCTAAGTAAGTCCAAAACTCAACAAGACAAACTAAATAAGTAATCTTATTTGACGTCACAGCTCTCCTTCCAGATGCACTGGGTTGAGGTTGGGCTGTCAAGGCACCTAGGGCCCCTGCTCCCATGGCTTTTCTGGGCATAGTCCATGCCTAGCTCTCACAGGTTGAAGTCAAGGACTGTGGTTTTACACCTTCGTGGCTCTCCAGGCCCAAGATCTCCAGAGTAACTGCCTGCACAACTCCAATAAGAATTACTCTGGTGGGGCTCTCTGAGGTGTATCCACCTCAGCAGCAGGTCTCTGCCTCTAGGCTCCAAGGACCTCTTGGGCATTCGGTGAAATTTAGGAGGAAGAAGTCATTTTTCTATAGCTCTTGTTCTCTTTAAACCTGCAGAGTTGGCCAAAGGTAAATGCTGCCGAGGTTTGTGGTTTACACCCTCTAGAGTGGTGGTCTGAACCACATACGGGCCCCATTGTGCCACATCTGGGATAGCTAAGGAATACTGTGCTGAAATGCTAGGATCATCACCACATTGATAACACCTGGATTTTAAAGGGAATTCACAATTTTTCTTTGCAAATCTTCTATAATTGTATATCCAAGATAAGTTTTTTTTTTTTAAATATGGTTTTGTACTTTAACTAAATGCCACTATCCTGTATTCATTCTTCAGCAAGGAGCTTTTCCACTCAGATTCATCAGATCACCAGGCTGATCTGATGCCTGGTGTAGTTCATTCCTTGATTTTTTTTTTCATTGGTTTTTCTTTTATAGAGCTGTATAATTTATAGTATGTAACTTTTTTTGGTAGTGTGCAGCTTTGTAGTTTTGATTGAAGCATCAAGGGTTCATGGCAGATCAAAAAAAAAATGTGGTACATATGTACTCTAGAGTTTTATTCAGCCATAAAGAAAAATGAAATTGTCATTTGAGGAAAATGAATGGAACTTGAGAACATTATGTTATGTGAAATAAGCCAAATGCAGAAGGTCCAGGGTCATGTTTTCTCTCATATGTGGAAGCTAGAGAGGAAAAAGAGGAAAAAGGCAAAAAAGGTGAGACAGGCGAGGGGAAATAACATGAAAGTCCAAGGGAGATCAGTAGGAAAATTGCAAGAGGAGAAAGACCAGGGGTTGGAAGTGGGGAGGGAGTGGGAAAGGGGTGGGAAATGATATTGGCCAAATTATATTGTTATATTGGGTACACGTACAAATATGTTAAAAAATAGTGACTAAAATATGGCTTATGGCAGAAATGCTCGTATACACTTTTATATAGGTCTAAGTATATTTATTATATTTACATTTACATATTGTCTATTCTTTGTAAGTATTTCCCTGTTTACTCCCTCCCTTTCATTGCCATTAATGCCTGGTTTGGGGCCCACACTTAACTTTCTAGGGACTCACTGTCCTCCATTCCAATAATATCCAAAAGGAGGAAAAGAGAAAGCTTCCTCCCAGATGTCCTTAAAATCCTTCTCCAGAGGGCCTCAGGGATTTCATATGTCTTTCCTAAATTAGTCACTGGTGAGGGCAATCTCAAAGATCATAATTTAGACTAACCAGATGAGGAAACTGTTCAGCTTCCCTTGAAGCATATAACTTCCCCCAAATGTGCACCAAGGTAAGATTCTCTGAGAGGGAAGTGGAGCCTGTGTGGGTGTGTGTGTGTGGGTGGGAGGGAAGCACACCTGCCCCACAATCACAGGATTATGGTAGAAACGAGATGACCCGAGAGATGGGGAAGAAGAAAGATCTATACGACATTATTAGGTGGAGAACTGTGAAGTGTTAAATATGGGATATTTTCTCACAAACTACTAGCTTGGCAGTTGTTTTATCCATAAAAAAAAAAAAAAGAACAAACACCATGTCCTGACACGTCCCTTTCCATTCCCAAGAACCTAGCCAAGCCAAGGGAACAATGAGAGTGGGCCCAGACCAGCATGTCCAGATAAGGATTATCTGGAAGGACACTGACTATCTCTCATGAAAACTAGGGCAAACGAGTGTTCTCTGTAGAAACTGCTTTCTTGCACCGATGCCAAGCTTCTTGGAGTGTTGGTCATATAATGGGATAAAGCAAGCCAATGATGTCACAGTTTCTGTAATCTACCCTATACACTCCCCCCTGTGGTAACGGGTATGGAATCTCTTTGAGTACGGTGGAGAAAGAGGCGCTTCTCAGGTCGGCCACCACAGGACAAAGTTCCATGAGGATTGGAGATGCTACTCTCTGGAGAAGCACTGTGAGGGGCAGAGGTCACCACCGGATCTTCTCCATAAGCAGTTTTCTACAAATCTTATGTAAGCTTCTGGTCTCTTGGCAACCCATCATACTGACCCAGCAGAACTAGGCTGTGCACCAGTTTTCTTGGGTAACTACAAATGATATTAAAATGATTAATATTTTATAGAGATCTTCTAGAAAAAAAATATAATATTTAAAATGTGCCTTACTTATGATCGTTGTGCAGAATCCAGTGGAATCTAGGATTGATGGGAAGTCTGTGAGAAGAAAGTCCCTATAATTTCTGCTGCTTGGTAATGAAAATTGCTGGCACTATACTAGATTTGGACATTGAGGTAATAAACTAAATGTTCTGTTCCTTTGTGTGACCTTGGAAAAATAAAACTTAGAAAGGAATTTCACAAGATACTCAGGAGGATAAAGTTTCCATAAGGGAATATCTTCCCTATAAACATTGTTAAGTTCTTCAAAAACTAGCCTTTGTTTTTTCCTTTTCAAATACGAACAAAAGCATTGATGACAGAATTTGTCCATATGAAGCCTTTGAGGAAAGATTTATAGTAATAACATAGTTTGAAAAATCAAAAGAATTATACTATACATAGTAATTCTATAATTTTTAATAATCAAAAGATCAAATTATTATAAACATCCTAAATGTTTAAATTGCCTGACATCTATTGGTGACATTAGAGAGAAGTTTGTTTTAGTAACCAGATATCACTTAAAAAATTAATTTATGTTACACATAAATATATGTTATATCTACTGGGAATGACTTTATATTGTGGCAAGAGAAATTTTTAATACATATGTTTTTTACCATAAACTCAGAACTGAGCTTTTGGACTGGATGGTGCTATTGTCAATATTATAAAACCAAATGTTATTTTGAATGGAAAAATATAGGGAAAAGAGTAGTGTCTTGAAATGAGGAATGGTGGTGGGTACCAAAACAAGCAAATATTCTTAACTTAATCACATGACATGCCTATTTAAAATTAGATAGCATAACAAAGAATAAAATTTCTCATCCTCTGGTAGATACAAATATTCTGATCCTCCTCCTCCTCCTCCTTTTTCTTCTCCTCTTCTTCCTCCTTCTCCTTCTTCTTCTTTGTTATGGTTTGGTTATGAGTTGTCATAACCAAAAGCTCACATGTAAGACAACAAAAGAAGGTTTAGAGGAGAAATCATTGGATTGTGAGGGTCTTAATACAACCAGTGAATTAATCCCTGTGATGCAATTAACTGAGTGGTAACTAGAGGCAGGTGGGGTGTGGCTGGAGGAAGTAGTTAACTGAGGGCATGACTATTTTGTATCCGGAGGTGGAGTCTCCCTCTCCGCTTCATGATCAGCTTGATGTGAGCTGCTTACCTCTGCCACACTCTTAGGCAATGATATTCTGCCTCATCTTGAGCCCTGAGGAATGGAGCTGGCCTTCTCTGGACTAAGGCCTCTGAAACTGTGAGTCCTCAAATAAACTTTCCTCCCCTACTGTTGTGATGGTCAGATTCTTTAGTAACAGCAGCAAAAAAAAGTTGACTAAAACCTCCTCTTCCTTTTCCTCCTCCATTCTCCTCCTCCTCCTCC